CGGTGCGTTCGGATTCGGCTACGGGTGCATCGGGTCTGCAGGGGCGCCTCACTTACATCTGACATTCCGGCTCGTCTTCTGCTTGGAAGTGATACGTTCTGTCATCTGTGGGAAGAGAGGAAGGACAGAGGTAAGGAGAGGATGTCTAGAAAGAACGGGAATAACAAACAGTCTGAATGAGAACACTTCGCGTACAGTACAGGAGGCATCTGCATTCCTGCTGCTACTGCTGTGAGCTCTCTATATAAACAGGCTAATTGCATTTAATACTGAATTGGGTTTTTCTTTCCTTCATGTCTCAGGACTAAATAAAAACTATGAACAAACTTAAAAACAAGTCTGCCCATTTTTTATGGCTTTTCCCTCCATCAACAAGGAAGGGTAAACAATGTGGCCCTGTCTCTTGTCAAAGCACTGCTGCTGCGACCATGCATTTATGAGCTCTCTGTTCTGCTTTATGTCCGTGAATTCAGAAGAATATTTGTTTTTTTAACAGAGAACCACTTAGCGACGGACTCGTGAAAATACAGGATGAGGGAGGGCTGTTGTAGACTTTGGCTCTCTTAAATTTGAGAGAGAATCTTGAGAAGAGCCTGTTGTCAAAATCCCACACTTTAAGATTTCTTTGCCGGGTGGACTATACTGAGGAACACACGACAAAAACAACAACAAAAAAAGAATTTAGCAAGAGTGAAAGCAGACTCACTCAAGACATCTGTCTGAAAAAAGATTTCTAAAAGCATCCGTTTGAACCAAAGTTCCTTGGACACACGGATTATGGATACTGTATAAAATAATTATTTTTTAAAAAAGGATGATCTTATACAATGAGAAAGAAATTTGAAGTGAAAAATTTACAAATCTTTACGGGGTTTGCTCCATTGATTTAGTGAATTTAGACAGCTTAAGGCAAGGTATCCTCAGCCCAAAAGGCGAACATCTTCAAGCAGTGTGACACACAGGTAGATCTGTGGGAGGTGCTCTGGGCATTTCTTGCACCGCTGAGCAACTTCCTGAGGATTCCTGCATCGTTCACAAAGCAAACCTGAAGCACAGGAGGTCTGGGGTTTTGGGCAGAAAGCTGCATCAACCTACGTGATATGAGATCGAAGCTTTTCTTCTCATCCGGGCTGCGTTTCACTTGACAGGTTAAGAGGTTGAGCTTCGCTGGTGGTCTGTTAGCCTGGGTGAAAGAAGCACAAATAAGTATATGAAGAGACTACAGAGAAAAACGGCATGCAAAGTTTCCCCACCGCCGCAGGAAGTTAGATAAAGCGCTCATTCTTAGCTGGCAGGGTGGCGGCATGGAAAACAGCAGTAGGGGGTTAACTGATAAACAGGCAAATCCGTGTTTAAATAGTAAAAATCAACAAAACTGATATATCCTTCAGAGTTACACTGGCACTGTCCGTCTCCCCGCTCAAGAGTCAGCTTGAGAAGAAATTACAATGCAGAAAGCATCATTTCTAGAACATACAGTTTATATTTATGTTCCCATTAAGAGGGACAGAAAATATGACATATTCAAACTCAGAGAAAATGTCAGTGGCCGTTTAGCCAGAATTTGTGGCTAATTCCGAGTCGAAAAAAAAAAACACCCAGCCAGGTGACTAATTCCAAAACGAGATAACTACCACTCCTTCCTGTCTCGCTGCACAGTCCCACAGCACGGGGAACACAGAAACAAAGCTCTAATGGAAGTACATGGGCTCTGTTCTCTCTGCAAAAAGGGAGGTAACAGGCAGCTGAGAGCAATGTGAACAAGTCGCAGATGAATCTCGAGCATGAAAGGGAAATTCAACCATACCCAAGGAAAAAAAATCTAACCGGTCAAAATCAGGTTTAAACTATTTGGGAAGCACAAAAGTGTTTAATTCTCCAATTGCAGTCACCTGGAGGCAAGAACCACTAAAAACACATCTAGACTAGCGGACTGGCTTTCCTGTAGATCCCGAACCGGATTCGTCGGTTCTCAAACACGGATCACAACCTTAACTGGGAGAGCTGGAAATGAAGGTTTGCACATTCTCCAAATGATGTACAGTCAAGCTTGCGAGGCTGTTTTCACACCGCAACAGGCAGAGGACTGGAGCGTCCGCAGTCAGGCGGCTACGCCCCTGGAGTCACCCACCAACTCCTGTTT